TCATTTTACAGGTGAGAAAACTGAGGCTCAAAGGGGTTAAGATATTTGCTCAAAGTCACTCAGAGAGTACACGGCAGAGTCAAGACAGAAACCCAGTTCTCTGTAAGGTAAAGCCTGTGCCCTGTCATCACTTTATGTCAGTGGGTTTCAACCAAGGGTGATTCTCCTCACCCCCTGCCCCGGGATGTTCTGCAATGTCTAAGGACATTTTTGGTCATCATGACCCCTGGGCAGGCGTGCAGGGGAGGGTGTGTGCTACTGGCTAATAGTGGGTAGAGTCAAGGACAGGGCTATGCTGCTAAACGTCCTACAGTGCACAGGACAGCCCTCACATCAGAATCACTGGGCTCAAAATGTCAACAGGGCCAAAGTTAAGAACACCGCTTTATACCATCTCCCAGGTTTCCACCACCCATGTCCAGAGGCCAGCAAGGATTCTAATGTATACGGTATCTTTTAACACTGGGATGTGGAACACAAGATATCCTACAGCTCAAAGACAGTTTACTCATCCCTGCCCATTCTTTATCTTTACCAGAGACAAAATTCTGTCTTCAAATCCTAACATCCATCTACGATGCAAAATAACTCCAGGGACAGGATGATTAATGAGCTCAGGATACATCAATAGCAAAATGCCAAGGAGAATAGAATATCCGTGGATACAAGGGTAAAACACAAACACATTCTCCCTCTCCCCTAGAAAAGCATTCCAAGTGGACTTTAAAAGTCACAGACTACTAGAGTACTAAGAAAGGGCTGTGGGAGTTGCTGTCACCATCCCTGAAGAGATCACCATGGCAACAAAAGCCAACACGACGCTGTATGAGATACACAATTGGAAAAGTCTCTTTGTGCACTAGCACAGCACACCTAACCTGTCCTACCCGAGCCAATGGTTCTCAACCCTGGCTGCACATCTGCATCACCCATGCTGCTCTCTCACGGTGCGAAGGCTCAGGGCCCACCCAGCATCTCAAGGAACTGGAATGGGTGGGGTGTGGGGATTGAGCCTTTGTTGTTTTAAGAAAGCTCCCCCAGTGACTCAGTGGCCCGACTCAGGTGCAGAGTCATGACCTCAGACTCACAAGAGGTGGCAATGGCCCAGGGAAGAGAGACAGAAGGGTAGGGTGTGAAGATGGGCCGGCTTGAAATACCAAGTCTGAAAAGACAGAAGCTAAGAGGGCATCTGACCAGAGATTAAACAGCAGAGGAAAAGCACACGTCCTTCAGGCAGTCCCTGAAGCTTCAAAATGCACAGGCAAGAAAGCCCTGGTTTCCACAGCAGATCATAAATTACACCTTCCAGCAGGCTGTACAAGCCAAAAAGCCACTGAGATTTGATGTCCTGAGGACAACCACGCCAGAACTAGTGTCAGAGGGAAAGCACCAAGTGAGTGTGACATTTATCCGGCACAAACTTCAGGTACAAAACATTCTAATCCCCTAGCTTCTACTTACTGTTCAATTATGCAATCGGTAGCTCATATCGGCACATATGCTAGAAATTGTATCCCTGGAAAACGGGAATCCATAATTTCCCCCTTTATGCACAGAAGTATACCTCACAATCAGGGTCCTCACTGATGGATTCATTCATTCATTCCACAAACATTTCTCGGACACCTATGCTGCGCCAGGCACTGTTCTAGATGTAGGGAATCCGTCAGTGATCAGGACAGAAAGAAATCCTTGTCCTCGAGGAGCTAATATTCTAGAGGAGGAGTAAGGAGTCAGACAAACAAGTAAACTTAGCGTTTCAGAACAGTGAGTCTGTGGAGTAAAATAAAGCGGGATAAAGGGGACAGGGAATGCGGATCCAATTTAAAAGAGGCGAGCGGAGAAGTTCCCTGTAATAAACGAATGTTTGAGTAAAGCTGTGAAGGAGGGAAGGAGGGAGCCACAGGGATATCTGGGGGGAGACTGTTTCAGGGAGGGGAACCAGTAGGTCCAAAGGCATAAAGGAGGGAGAGTACAGTCCATTCAAGGGACACGAGGAAACCAGAGTGGGTCAAGCAGAACAAGTCAGGGGGAGTGAGGGGCGACAGGAGGACAGGGAGGCATCAGGGGGCCACTCCGGCCTCTGGGTTGAGTTGTTAGATGGGGAGGGGTGGAAGGGAGGCCCAATGGTGGAAGCCAGTGTTGGTGGGGAGAAGCGGTCACCTTCTGGAAACATACCAAGGTGTAAGTGACAGGATTTGCCGTGGCATAGGAGAGAGAGAGAAGTCAAGGGTGACTTTGAAGTTTTTGGCCTTTCCTACACACGGGAGGAAGACTGTGGGCTGGGGAGGTGTGGGGGGAAAGATGGGAATTTTGTTCGCTGCGTCCATGATGTGCTTAAATGCAGATGTCGACCATGATGTTGGATGTGGGAGTCTTGAGTTTGTGAAAATTAGTAACAGGAAAAACCTCACTGAAGTGGCCTTGTGGGACTAGAAAAGGGGGCCAAAATGGGCACCTTACCACTCAATGGAAATTAAAGGGAGAATTGTCAACTACAGCCCCCAAGAGAAGAAACACCAGCAGGAAAGAATGATCAATCGCACGCCCTGACGGAAGAGGTACACTGGATCTTCTAGAAGAAATCCACTGCCCCTGCAACTTCACCAGTGAGACACCGTCATCATCCTGAACTGCTTTTTCCCAGCAGACTCTCAATTCAAAACGACGTCTCCCAACTCTCCCCTACTTCCTAAAATAACGGTCCTCTCCTTTGTTGGCTGACTTGCCTGTGGTTTTGCCATAGCTTGCTCCTCTTAGAATTGCAATTCTCTGTTATTCCTGAAGAAGCCCATCTTGCTAGTTAAATAACTAATGGTATTGCTTTTAAGATTAACAAGTGCAAGAAACCAAACGGGCCAAATACGGAAATATGTAAAGTATGTCACAGTGATTCCCCTTTATCCACTCCCTCTTCTGCCTTTAACTGGATCTCACGAACTGGAATGCCTCCACCCTCCATGGCCCACTCCATCTCACAAAGAGAGACAAAGCACAAAATGGCAAGGGGTACATGGGGGCAGGGGCTCTGAAGCAAGACCACCTGCCTCACACCTCTGCTCCTTGCGAGCATCGTGACCTGCCCTGGACAGGAACTTAACCACTCCAGCTCCCTTTCCTCACCAAGAGAACGGGCTACCGGTACCTACTTCAAGGATCTTTTGTGAGTATTAGAACAGGACTCAAGCCTCTGCACGGTGCATTGGAACCATCCCCAACGCCCCACCAGGGTGGGCAGTTCTTTCTTTCAGGACTTCTTAGGGTTCGGTATGGAAATCTAAGGACACCCTCCGGAAGCAGGGAGCACCGCTTGGGGGAATCGGGATCAGGCAGGTACACGGCCCGCCTGAACTACAGTGGTGCACCTGTATCAACCAAGGGAGCTGAAAACAGGCCTCGGAAGTCCCGAAGCCACCGCGATGGCAACACCATTGCCTTAAGCCGACATCAGCTTATGGAGTGCCTCCTCAGGGGGACTGGGAACGGTAACCTTGTCAAAAACGCTCGGCTGAGATGTCAGCGCTCCAGAGAGGGGGGAATTCACACCGTCTCTGCCTCCCTCTGTCTCTGGCAGCGCAGCAGGAAAGGGCCAAAAAGCAGCCAGGGCTTTCAGCGGTCCATATCCCGCGGCCAGGCCTGAATGCAGGGAGACCAGGCGTGACGCTCAGGTGGCCACTAAGGATCTGGGGGAACTGGCGGGAATGGGGGACCGAGTTCAGGGGTGGGGAGTGGGGGAGCCGACCGGGTGTCCTCCGTCCTCGGCGTGGGGCAGGCCCGCGTAGGACGAGAACCCCACAGGATTCGCGGGTGGGCCTGCTCGGCGCCAGGCCAGGGAAAGGGGCAAGCCCGGGCCCCGAGACCGAAGGGGTGCGGGAGGGAGCGTGGCGCGCTGGACGACGACCAGGCCCGGAGGTCTATTTACATTTGAGACCAAGGCGCTGGAGCCGCGCCTCCCGCCCCCTTCAGGCCCCGACCTGGCTCGGGAGGCAGAAGGACCTCGGGGCCGTGGCCCCAGCGGCTTCCCAGGGCCTCTGGCCGGACAGTGGCAGGTCCGAGTCGGCGGGGAGTGATGGGCCGGGCCGGGGAGCCCAGCCTGAGGGGACGCAATGGGGGGCGGCTGTGAGGCCGGCTGGGCCGCTATTCCGGAGCACACAGGTCCCCCACACTCCAGGGTGCTCACCCCTCGGGCTTGTGGCCCCTGGGCCTCCCGCCGCCCGTTCCCTGGCCGCCAGCTGGCCCCCGACGGCGCCTCCCCTACCTTCGTTCGCCAGGTCCGCCATTTTACTTCCTTAAGCCCTCCCACAAGGCCCCGCGCCGGCCCGGGCTCGCCTGCTTTCTGCCAGAAACTCGCGCGCGTGCGCACTTCTCAAGCTGACGCTGAGCGAGGCCAGCAGCTCGCGCCTGCGCGCTGAGCCCGGCGCGGAATCGTGCTCCCGCTGGCGGTCCGAGCCCAGCCAGGCTCCGAGCCCGCGCTTGCGCACCAACTGCCCCCCGCCGCCTCTTCCCGCCGGCCAAGGGGGCGTGGGCGGGGCGGGGCGCGTGCGTCGCGAGCCTCGCGCGCGTCCCCAGCGACGCGGGAACCAAGGTTCTGTGAGGCGAGCGCGGAAGGCACCGGTTTCGACGCCCCGACTTTCTGCTGGTTTTCCGGGGGGAGGGTTCCTCGCGGCGGGAGCGTGAGCCGCCGAGGGAGCCACGACCGAGGCCTCCCCAGAGGTGATACCCTGGGTCTGTGTTTGGCGGGGGCGGGGGGACTGCGGGGCGTCAGTTTCCCCCTCTGAGGGCGCAGTACTTTGCACCAGCGTTTTCCTCAGGGCACGCGGGGCGGTGCGGGCGGCGGGCTGGTCAGAGGAGGGGGTCAGTCGGGGAGAGAGGGGTGCGGACTGGGGGGCGCGGCTCGAGGGACGCGGAGCTCGCCCGGCGCCGAGCGGGACGTCGAGGTTCTCCCGCCTGCGAACCGCGCCGAACAGCCCCGCGGGCGCGGGGGCCCCTTCTCGACTCACCTTCGCGGAGTCTCCCCGAACACATCCCCGGCTCTGCTTCCCCGCGCGCGGCCTCGAGTCTCCCCAGGGACGCCGCGCCGGCCCCGTGCGCGCAGAGCGGCCCGCGGACGACTCGTTACAGGATGCAGATGCGAATTGGATCGCGGGCCACCTTCCCTCAACGCTGCCTAAGGGCTTCCTGCTGAATTCGGAACGAATCCCAAATGCCCCCCGAAGGCTTCCGAGGCCGCCCGCGCCTTTCTCGCTGGCTCCCCCCTCCGCTCATCGCAGCGCGGCCACGTGGGTCTCTCAGGCCACGCCCCTTCCAGCCGCAGGGTCGTTGCACCTGCAGATCCCTTTGGATCCCTTTGTGCCTAATCTGCTTTGAGTCCCAGCCCCGCGCCCCGCCGCTTCCATTGTGACCTAGACAAGAAGGGCCTACCGCCTGCTGGCTACATCTGGTTTGTGAGCTAAGAAAGGCTTCACGTTTGCAGCGTTTGGGGGGAAAAATCAAAATACAATTTCCTGACGTGTGAAAGTTGTATGGAGCTTAAGTTTTTCCGTGTTCACAAAGAATATTTTATTTGAAAATCGTCCCGCTTCTTAATTTACACATTGCGGTTGCTTTCAAGCTGGAGCAGCAGCGCGGACGCCTTTTGACAGAGACTGGCCAACGCAACTTAAAGTACTGACCTTTCGGGTGTTTACAGGAGAGATCTGCGTGGTCGCCGTGTGCGGATCTGCCCGACCACCTGCGGGCTGTGGCAGATCCTTAACAGCTTCTCTGGGGGGAGGATGTGTTGGGTATGTATTTATGTGTGTGCCTGTGTGCATAGTTTTTTATTTTTTATAAGTAGGCTTCCCGCCCAGCGGGGAGCCCAGCACACGACTTGAACTCAACGACGGCAAGATCAAGAATCGGACACTCAACCCACCGAGCCACCCAGGCACCCCTCTGTGTTTATTTATTAAAAAAATCTTTTTTAACGTTTCTATTTGAGAGAGAGACCGCATGAGCAGGGGAGCGTCAGAGAGAGAGAGGGAGACACAGAATCAAAAGACAGGCTCTAGGCTCTGAGCTCGCTGTCAGCACAGAGCCCGACGCGGGGCTTGAACTCCCTAACCGTGAGATCGTGACCTGAGCCAAAGTCAGATGCCTAACCGACTGAGCCCCCCAGGCGTCCTACCCCTGTGTGTTTATAGTTTATTGTAAATTTTACTTGTATTTTCCTATCACTTTCTTAATAGAAGACAATAAAACAATGGAATGAACCCTGGTTTGTAGTGCTGGTTTTCTTGGTGTAAATACTCAAACCATGGCTGACTACTCACACTACTAATGTGACTGTTACTAGCTGCAGAGCTACGAAGAGATGGTCGGAAACACACTATGTTTCTAGAGCGCGCTTATCTTTGTCAGTGTGGTCCCCAAATCAGCAACAACATCATCACCCGGAAGCTTCTTAGAAATACAGAATTCCAGGCCCCAAACCAGACCTGAATCACAATCCACATTCTAACAAGATACCCAGGGGCTTCCTATGCGTGTTTGATCTTGAGAAGCACTGTTTAAGAATTTTTTTATTTTTTATTAAGTTTGTTTATTTTGAGAGAGAGGGTACGCACATGTGCCAGCAGGGTAGGGGCGGGGTGGGGGGGAGAGGGAATCCCAAGCAGGCTCTACTCTGTTATCGCAGAGTGGAACTTGGTGCTCAAGGCTCAAACTCACGAACCATGAGATCACGACCTGAGGCAAAGACAGACGCTCAACTGGTTGGGCCGCCCAGATGCCCTGTTCAGGATCTTTTAAATGGAACTTTTATTCGTTGTTGGGGGTGAGGTATGGTTAATACAGTGAAGAATTTCCCCACCTTTATTTAGTAGACACCTTGATTCTGCTACCCTAGATTTTGCCGCCAGGCTCTAAGCACAGGCCACAGACCCTGGGTTAGAAATGCTGTAGGAATGGCTAGAGTGTCAGCACTGGAAGGGACCCCGGAGGTCATCAGGTCCATCTGGTCGCCAGCAGCACGTAGGCTTAGGTTTTCTCATTTCTAGTTTGTTGGTTTCATGATACTCCTTTCATATATTTGTGAGCTCTTGCTCAAAGGTCTTGGCCTTTGCTGTATGTCTAGACTCTGTGATCCTTAATGAACTTAATACTTTGCCTGCCCTTTTTACTGGTTTACATTTACATTAGAGTTTATCAGCACCCAAAATAAAAAACCACCAAGCCACGAATAGGAAATAAACATAAAAGTAAGCCATAAGAACAAAACAAAGGCTTTAAATTCTAGATAGATACCGTTGCGTGCCAAGGTGCTGAGCCCCAAGCCTGCTATTTTTTTTTTTTTTTTTTTGTGAGAGAGAGAGACACAACATGAGCAGGGGAGGGTCAGACAGAGAGGGAGATACAGAATCTGAAACAGGCTCCAGGCTCTGAGCTGTCAGCACAGAGCCCAAGTGGGGCTCAAACCCACTAACTGAGATCACGACCTGAGCTGAAGTCGGACGCTTAGCTGACTGAGCCACCCAGGTGCCCCCCAAGCCTGCTTTTCTTTTGATGTAAAGAGAAATTAGCACAGTATTAGAGGGCTATTAAAGGCACATTATCACTAACAGAAACTCCCCTTGACATGAGAAGTACTGAAAGAGAACTGATAATGGCGTAACTATACATCATGTGATTCGGTGTCATTTAATGCCAGCTCGACATGTCTCCTAAAGTCATTTCGTGCACACCACATCCAGCCCACACTTTGGGCAACTCAGCAACACGCCATCACTTGCTAAATATAACGCAGTGGTGGTTTGTCGAGGGACATGGAGAGGCGCTAACCCTATGAGCCTGATGAGCCAACTAAATTCCCACTGGTTTCACGACGGTCTTCAAAGTGCCAGTGGCTTCCCACGTTTGCCCCCAGGCTTGTTTTTCCTCTTTCTTTATCTGATCTCCTCCAACAAATTAACTTAGTGGATATTTATTAAGTAAATATTTGTTTATCACTTACCCGGTGGTAGTTGGGAAATACGGTCCCAAATTCTTTGACCCTCGAAAGGTGAGGCCTCTCTGTCCCTTTCCTTTGAATGAGGGTGGAAATGTTAGTGGTGGATGAATAGGGTGATGATGACACACTCCTCTATGAAGCCACGGCATAACGGACAGGATGCAGCTTTCATCTGCTTTGCTGGACCAGTTGCTCTTAAAGCCTTCAGTCTTTATGTAAACAGTCCCCTGGCCCTGAGGCCGCCATGTCGCGAGAAAGCCAAGGCATAGAAGCCACATCGCAAAACCCGGAGAGGACTCCCAGCTAGCCGCTCCTGTCCCTTACAAAAACCATGAGAGGTAGATGAAATGATGGCTGCTGTGACAAGGCATGAAGTCTGGGAGACGGGTGTCTGGGAGACGCCGCAGTTTGTATGCATCACACTACTGTTCACCAGGCCCGGCTCTGCATGCTGGCGCCCAGGCTGGACAAGACAGGCCCTTTGCATTCTTTGGTGGGAGACTTAAGATAGGTAAAGTGATACGAGATGGCGATTAGTACTACAAAGAAAATAAGCCAGGATATTGTGACAGAGTGGTAGAAAAGGGGGATACTTTATATTGGCTGGTCAGGAAAGTGTCCCCTCTGAAAAGGTGACACTTAATAAAAAGATCTGTAGAAGCATTCTAGAGAGAACAGGGAGTGCAATGGTCCCGAAGCAGGAGCCAGCTGGGGAAGCAGGGGGGCAGTGAGGAGTTCAGTGTGGCTAGTGCAGAGTGAGGAGAGGGCAGGGGTACGTAGGACCCTGGACCCTGCTGGTCACAGCAACGAGTTTGGAGGTTTAAAAAAAAAAAAAAGTTTATTTTTGAGAGAGAGGGACAGAGCATGAGCGGGGGAGGGGCAGAGAGAGAGGGAGACACAGACTCGGAAGCAGCTCCAGACTGAGCTGTCAGCACAGAGCCCGACACAGGGCTTGGACCCACGAACCGTGAGATCATGACCTGAGCTGAAGTCAGACACTTAACCGACGGAGCCACCCACGTGCCCTTTGGAGGTTTTTAATACACAAGGGTCAGGAGTGGGAAATGGAAGGATCCAGATGGTTTACCCTAAACTGCTGATCGGCGTCTCAGCCGCCTGCTTCCTCCTTGGTTCACCGGGAGACAGGTCTGAGGACCCCCTGGGCCCTGGCTGTGCCTTGAGAACTGTGAACTTGCCTTCTCCACGGCCAAGTTGTAAGTGGCCTCTGTACTTGGGGTTCCATTAAAAGGGCCTTCACAGCAGCAGTTACGTTCTCATCTTCCTGTCATGGGCAGGAAGCTGGCGTGTGAAGTACTTGCTCTGGGCCCAGCCCCACGCCGAGAAGGAGGCCCCAGAGGTTAATCAACTACAGTTCCTGCCCTCACTTTGCTCCGAGTCAGGTGAGGGCAAGGGAAGCCATCCTGGGTTGCCTCCTCCACCCAGCACCCTTCCCTGGCCTCCCTCAGTCCACAGGTGGAGTTCCAGACAGGATGTCCAGTGTGGCCAAGGCCAATTGCTGATGGGGGGGGGGGGGTCTGACCCAAGCTGGGTGCATCAGCTTCCTCGCTCCTATATTCTGCAACAGCTAAGTATAGTATGGAATTGGGAGGAAATACTTTTTTTTCAGTTGTAGTTTTAAAAAACCTATTAAAATAAATTCTGACTTAACAGTTGCAAAAATAGCACAAAGAATTCCACATAGTCTTCACCAAGCTTCTCCAAATATTAACATCTTACACAGCCACCGGACAACGATCAAAACTTGGAAATTGACACTGATGCAATACTATTCATTAACATACAAATCTGACCCAAATTTCAACTCTTCGTCGCTAATAACTTTTACCCCGTCCCAAGATCCGGTCCAGAATCCCAGTTAGATGTCATTTCTCCTTCAGTCTGGATCAGTTCTTCAGTCTTTTTTTTTTCTTTTTTCTGTCACATGGTAATGAGTACTCCCAGTTAATTGGAAGAATGCCCCTTAATTTTGGATTTGATTCGTGTTTCCTCATGATTAAACTCAGGTTACTGATTTCTGGCAGGAGTGGCGTGTCCATCTCAGCGGGCCCCGTCAGGACGCACATGACGTCGATTTGTACCATTAGCGATGGTCACTGAGATCAC